CTTTGTTTTAGATGGAATCTTCTACATAAGATTCTGCTACTGCGTTAGAACGCCACCCGCCATGCCGCTTTCAAGTCAATATATCAGCTCCCGAATCAGCAGGTAATGTAGCTGACGTTCTTCTGAAACTGTGCCCTATATATCAATTAGCATCCGGCAATCCTAAAAACTTTTCGACTTCCTTTGGCATGGCACCGAATTTATTTATGCCAATAGGTTGCGCAGTACATTTACCTTTTTGGTAATTCTGAAAGAAATGATTATTTTTTGCCTTAGTCGTACGCAGAGCTTCATATTTTTTGACCACGCCATAAAATGGGCCGTCGATAATAAAAGATCGGGGTATTTTGTTTTTAGTGTTTGGGATTTTAACTAAAAGCATTTTGCCTTGATTTTCAATGTCATTTGTGGTAATATTGTGAAGCTTTTGCCGTCTACATGCACCATTAATACCAAATATTAACGCAACCTGAAAAGAAATAAAAATGCTTACAGACGGTCGTTAAAAAATATGTAAAAGAGCTGTCGCATGCGGTTTGCACTTCTGTTAGTATATCCGGTGGAGTTGAAGTAATATATTGCTCTTCTTCATTATTGAAAGTTGTCACTTTTAGATATGCACAAAACTAGTACAAAGAAAGAAAATTTGAGAAAAATGGCGCGAGGATTATTTTCTGCCGTAGCTGCGTGAAAATGTTGGCAAAGACGTTAGAGCATGCAGCCAAGTTTTTAAATTACCGAATAAACTGATATCTTTTATTTTAAATAAACTCAATCTGTGAATGTACACTGTTGCTTTCCCGCCATTTTAACAGCGCGCTAGCGCTGCCTTCTGACTGGCACCGCGCGGCGATTAGTTCGAAATTTGAATAGCAACAGCGCGCGAAATGGCAAATAATACTGTTATGGAATTTGTATGGACTATAACTTAACTATTTGCTTTGGTAACACATGCGTTTTTTATTGCCCGCTTTACATATTTAAAACCGCTGGAATTACATCAGCTTTACGAGCAAAGGTGTTAAAAACATTTTTTACAGTTAACAATACAAAACTAAAGAATGAAAAGCTTGACATTCCCGATCCCTCCTACTTCTGTTGCCAAATTAAATCTATGTATAGTATAAAGCAAGGTAGCTTCCCGTTGTTTGTACACACAGCTGCACGTCAGGATACCACAATATGTATGATTTCCTTTTTTTACGCTACCCAGAAGGTATTAAGATGTAAAACCAAATGCAGAAATTTGGCAGTTTAGTATAACCTAACGTGTTAACTGTACGCTGAGATCTTTTTAACTACACAACGGATTTAAATGCATTTCAATCAATATACAGAGTGACACAAGAGGGAGGTTTAAATGTATAATAAGGCACTCTACACAATTGCCCATGATAGGCAATCACTGAGTGCCACCGTGACTGTAACCATTATTGCAGCGTTGCCCACGTGATGGGCCATCTCACATTTGTTAATTGCCATTTGAACTATATGGACGTCGAACAAGAATCCAAATTTTCCTTGATGAACATCTCAAGGACGCGTCCGTACCGTATCATAAATAACACGAACTGAGTGATCGGCGATCGTGTGGAGACGCGCATGATCATGACTAAATTTCCTTTGATGATTGTCACAAAAACCGATACAGGGGCAATCATACACGATTATCGCCGATCATAGGGCATTATAGGCGCTCATGCCGTCTACACAATGGTCTGTGTTCGTCCATCTTAGGTCACAGTGTGGTGCCGGTGCAATACAGGGCGCCAATTCTATTAAATAAATTTTGTTTAAATCGAATCGAAAACGGATCGAAACCGAACGAAACTACAGTTTCTAATGGTTTTTCTATTCTAGTAAGTGACATACGATACAATTCCAGCTAAAATAGAACTGGAATTATATCGTATGTCACTTTGTAGAATAGAAAAACCAAGTGACATACGATACAATTCCAGCTAAAATAGAACTGGAATTGTATCGTATGTCACTTACTAGAATAGAAAAACCATTAAAAACTGTAGTTTCATTCGGTTTCGATCCGTTTTCGATTCGATTTAAACAAAATTTTTTTAGTAGAATTGGCCCCCTGGACCACGCGGGCCAAGTCGCTGGCGGAATGCTCTAGTAAGAAATAAAAAAGAAATATTAAAATAATAGGTATTCTTTTTTCCAAATATTATTATTGATTACATAAGAAATGACCATTCACATTTATTTTGTTGATATATTTGACCAATTTTGATTTTTCAGGTTTCTTTAACTTTATGAATAATGTTTATACAGCACTGGTACACGTAAGGTTACAACAATATGTCAAAACCCTTAATTGATTTCAAACTAGAAAAAGTTACTTAAAGTTTAAAATCAAGAGAATGAAATTGATGGATGGATTGCTATACAAGCCTGTGCTATTAAATTTACATTAAAACATTCATAACATAAAAACTCTTATCAAAGATAATATATAGATAATAGACGATAAATGCTAAAGGCGATTCATCCGAAATGGTTGTCAATGACAACTTTTTGCACTCTTCAGAAAGTTATAAATTATTGTTTTTACCACATACCAAATTAAAATATGTTTTTAACAATTTGCTAAAGGAATCATTTTATAACTAAAGGTCTAAAAGGTCTTCGCCAATTGTTAGTGAAAATGTATGCAGGTTTGCCAGAGTAGGGTATATATTTATGAAAAAACGAATTAAAGCCTAAAATCAGCTAATACTTAACTCACTGATTTTAATCTCTATCTTCAAAGTATTAAAGTTTAAAATCAAGTGGAGAAATTTGACAGAGTTCTTTTGCCTGACGTGCTGTTTCACTTGTTTTCCACATTTTTATGTGATATAAATTAATCAAGGTGTTGATAAATTAAACAAAAGTACATCCACGTGTGAAAAAGTTTTTTAATGAGAAATATTTTTGACTCTGCTTATCGTCAGCTGTAATGTAATATAACGTAACGTAATGTTAAAACCTCCGAAATCAGGAAAATACGGGTGTAGACAGTATTTATTTTCGTTTACTGTCTACACCCGTATTTTTTTTGTAGTGTTTAATATACTATTACAGATAATCACACTTTATACTTATTACATTTATAATGTTGCATAAATTAATTATGAAAAAACAAATATTTTATATTCGTTGTCACGTTAACGTAAACAGCGCGTGATGTCATTTCCCTCTTACTAATATCAAAACTTACGGTAAGTTGCACAAATATCCATTAATGGTTTAATGACGACTTTGAGCTCTAATGAATGACAAATTTGTATCGGTAATGACGCTTTCAACTAATGACAATTTTAATGGACGTTTATGTAACTGGCTGTTAGAGTATTAAACCTTATGCATACATAGTTTAAGGGCGTCAGGGGCGTGACGTCATAGCGAGACGCCATGACAGAAGATGAAGTTTTTACGGGATATTTGGAAAATTTAATTAATTTTTAGATTTTAACTTAATATATGAATGATAATTTTTATATATATTTATTTAGATATATTTTTTGCATATCTACAAAATAAATATAAAATAAAAAGTTGTCTACACCCCTATTAGTTACAATTCGACTAATATAACTATCATTATAAATGTCATTTGTGCCAAAAGTTACAATAGTTTTTCCGGATTAGTAATTTGGTCTTTTGGTTCACCTGAAAAGTTGCTATTTGATTGTGACGCTTAAGTTACGTCAATTGATATAATGTAGAATATCAGCAAGAAAGGAGTTTTTTTCGTTTTTACTACCAAAGACAGATATAAAAAAATCACAAAGGTAGGTAAATAGTTTTTCTTAATCAGTTTTCTTATTAATAACTTTTATATAAACTATACAAAAATATACACACATATAATTTCTATGAATATTTCAACGGTAATTTTTGCTTTTTATGACTAAAATATTAACAAAATTGATTTACACGTTCCTTATAAATTAATGCGAATAATAATGGGAGTGGTGTGACCACCTTAAAAATAAGTAGTTGGAAACGTAAGTCTGAATATTCAAAGCGTATCCGCCATTCACCATATAGCCTCTAGTTAGATTCTGTTCAAGATCTTTTCCATATTTGGTTATATCCATAAGATCTACAATTTTATAAAGTTATGCCTATAGACTATCTTTGCTTAATTTTGTTATTATAGACATTACTGTACCGTACCTAATCCTTTTGAAAATAACAAATAATTTAAAAAATATTAATAACGATTATAGAAAAAATAACATAGTTTTTAGAAATACCAAAAACACAAACACGATTTTACCTTTAACTTTTTTTACAATATGATATAATATTTAATGTCATTATAATCATCAAAACACGACAAAATAAAAATAAAACGAATGCTTTTTTATCAAATGAACGTAACTACTGAATTCGCAACTGCAATTATTAGATACTAGCTGATCCGACAGACGTTGTCCAGTACTGTCAAATAAATTTTATAATTTGCAGCAAGCATTCTGTAAATTCCATATCAAACATAATAAGGTTACATTAAAAAAGTTTATAGTATCTAAAGCACTAAGGATAGATTAGAAATAATTTTATATGATGATGAAATATTCTTAAATTTACACTAGACAATTTTCTTATTTCTTTTTTCATAAATAAAATTAATAGTAAGTAGTTGTTTTTACAGAGATTCGGTTTGTATAAACTATTATTTATCATATATCTAAATCGGTATTGATTAGGTACATATGGAGGTGAGCGATAAGTTACATAAAAGCTCGCGTCAACTTCGGCCGTTTATAAAATATTAAATAAACTTTAGCATATATCATAAAAATACAAGGTAACCGTTCTAGTACCGTTCGACACTCCGGAAAGTCAGTCGTCAATAGGTCCTTCGAAATAGTGTGGTTATGCGAAGCGCCAAATCTTATTTTCAAATGGGTATTCTATTAATTGTTTATCATAGTCATGTGTCGCTCTAATTGAAGGACCCACCTTAAATCTATAGACCTTAAAATATAAACCTATTGGCGTTTGTCTTTGCTATTGCGAACGTCTGCATGGAAACCGGTCTCCCAATCGGCCACGTAGTCCACCGTCCGTACGGAGCCGTCGGGCTCCACCAGCGAGTACTGACCTGGATACATCAACACAGTTTTGTATATTACATGCACGTCAAATGAATTGTCTCATAACTAGAAGTTGAAATTAAGACACCTCGATGGATTGTCAATCAAAAATAATTCATAAATGTTTTGAGTAGTGTATTAAATACGGTAGATTAGTAAATTGTCCTACTTTCACCCGGGATAACATAAGCTCGTTTTTTACTGCCGAGTTCTCACAGGAATGATGTTACTAGGAAGCTGGCATGGAATTCGAACGTGGTGATCGTCGAACTTTCAATGCTGACTTCATGTTTCATCGATTCACAATTTCTAACAACAACTAGGATTAAGAACTTCTGAGGATACTCCGTAGAGGAGAGAAATACGTGTGGTAGTCGGTGTGATATCGAGATATGCAGCCGCTTGTGCCTGTGCATTTGTCTGCGGGTGTGCGGGTGGTGGGTGCACAATTAGGGTTGCCAGATTTAGTCTTATCATTTCCTAGACATTTTTGGGGACGATGGAATTAGTTTTGTGTCCGAATGGTGACTGATGCCTTTTGTGCAAATGATTAAAAATTTTGTGAATTCCGGGAGAGCTGAGTAAAATTACTGGACACTGGACAGCATTCAACATTCCGGATCTAGCCCGGATTTTCCGGTCATCTGGCAACTCTATGCGCAGCAGCGGCTCTATTGGCGTAACTATATGTATGTTAAATATTACAAAAGCTGCGTTTCGACCGGTTCTTGGTCTGTATGCTAATCCGGAGTAGTGGCGTAGTATTAAGAGATAAAATGTTCCGTGCCTTTAATTAATAAGTAAAATAAAATCCAGCATCCCGAGTATGTTGTTAACATAGATTAAAATACTAAGACTGGGATGTAATAGAGTATTAACCTTATACACTGTATCTAACAATACAGTATTGATTTAATACGATGCCAAGGAAATTGTAGTTACGCGGTATACCCACCAAGCTATTTCTAGGTGATGATAACACTATTTACTATGCTGCCAGTCTGCTCGTCAGTATGTCTGTCATACAGTATTATCTTTTGAACTAGAATGGGTAGTCATTTAAAAAACCTATTGCTTTAAATTATCACATAATACGTATAAAAAATATATTACATAATATGAGACAGCATTACACACATCGCACACCCGAGAGAATATAAAAAAGTTCATCTAACCTAACCAAGAATCTAATCCGGAACCTCTGAGATAGACCTCTTGAAACTGGCACTCGGCCTCGAAGCTTTTATTACAATATAAAAATAAAAAAAGATAAAAAGTATATAATGCTCTATTAAATCTTTCATATGCGAGTCGGCATGTATTTGACCATATACTTATTCATAAAATACTGACAGCGACTTTATGTTTAGGTATTAGTTGGAACTAATACACTGAAATAATAAAAGTTTATAAATGGGAATCATTACAGTTCATAGAAATATATTTTTATTCTCAGTCCAATAGTGACTGTGCATTTTACCTTTCACAACTTCGCCGTCTCGTTCTTCTTTCTGCTGTTTAATGTCACCAGTGTGAGGGTCATTGACACCGTACTCGTAAGCATACCTCGGATGAGCATCCTGTTAAAAATAACAACTTTAAAGTGCTATAATAACTAAAATATAATATCAACTTTAAGAGACAACAAGACGAAATCGCGAGACCAGCCAATGAGACAAACGAAAACAAAATGATGGTTCAGCTGAATCAGACCGTAAAATATTATATTTTATTTATTAGCTGTTTTCCTGCGCCTTCGGCCGCGTAAAAAATTACTATAGGAAGGAATATACATATACATTAGCAAACCTAATATTTATTTATTTTATAAACCCGTTTAAGGAAATCACGTTTTGTGCTTTTCGACATATGACGTAGCTTTTGCATTGTTAGATAATGTTTGACTTTATTTAATTTTCACATTTTTTTTTCAAATTATTGATTTTGTTTAGTAAGGCTTACCAATTTAAAAAATATGCAAGTAAAACGCTAAAGCCAACATCATGTAATTAGAAAAGCATTTTATTTATTTAAACTATTCTACCAAAGGCAAAAGTGATCTTTGTTTTAGAACCAGCTATTGTTCTAAATGTAAATCACTGCGAAATAAAAAAATTAAGATAAATTATTATTAATCTAACGCGCTCTACCAGATATTATCGCCTAGATTATCGGCGACTTGACATCTATGAAAAATAATTAATATGATAATAAATTAATTTTTAAGCTTAAGGTCAATCGACTGTGTAACATAAAAGGTCTCGAATTCGTGGCGAGTTCAAGTAGGTAGCTACGCATATACAAAGGTCTAGTTGAAGCATACAATAAATCTTTGTCTTTAATATCATAACATATCTACTTAACTTGTTTGAAACAGCAGCTTAAAAAATTGGTTTAAGATCTTGGATCAGACTTTTAAATGATGGTAATGAGCTTAACGGTATTATTTACAAGTTAAGCAGGCAATACTTAATGTGACCAGATGTACAGTTTTAAATCGGACAGTACTATTTTTCTGGAAGGTCTGTCCCAGTGTCCCTGGAGATAGCCGCAAAGTGATATCCTGTTTTTTTAAATGGAGCGTAAATTTTCTCTTCTGGATACTGTTGATTTTCTAGCAAAGCGCGGAAGAGGTTTTCTAGCAAAGATTCATTAATTTGTTTTTTCAATTAGTTTGGGGTTTTTATGTAAAAAATATGTCCGGTTTTGAGCTGAAAAATGGTCACATTAGTCATATCTAACATAACAGATTAGTAAGTTCGTCGGTGATACTCGTATATTATTTATCATGAGATTGTATTATTTCTATATTTTAGGTATTATAAAATATTGTGTTTTAAAATATAAACAGTAATTTAATATTTGTGTTCCTCAATTATAAAAATTATTGAGTTGTTATGTTATTTTAACGTAGGTATACTTTTCAAGCAAGTAATTATTGAAGATGTATTTACACAAAAAAAAGTAAGCTGCAAAAGAGATTTCGTAAGTTATCATTATCGTAAGAAGATTATAAAGAAGAGGTGGGACGGGAAAATAACGCTTGCATTGTGGATTAACGAAGTATAAAACTCACCTCAGTAAAAAACTTACGTAAACTCAAATGAGGTAAACGCAACCACATCAGAATGCGAACCGGGCTGAATGCCGTCACAATGAGCTTGAAAGGACTTGTAATTTTGTAAGCTTCGATTATATCGGAATAGGGCTTAGCTATTAGTATATAGGTGTTTATTGCCACGAGAATGCCAACCTTGATGCCAACTATCGGTCGACCTATTGAGAGATTTAGAGACTATAGTCGATAGACAAAATATGACAGAACAAAGAAAAACGTTATGATTGTGGTATTTGATAATTATTACTACACACACTATAATGCACTTTATAACACTGCACTCACTTTGCACATTCATTATGACATTATTTTTCGAAATCGGTGTTTAAAAATTTTATGAATAATCCAACTTTGAAAGCTTTGTGATCAACATAAAAATTGAAGTAGAAAAATATTAATGGAATACTCGTATATACAGACTAACATAAATATCTGTTTTTGAAGTCCGTTTTAAAATGAAGGTCCAAAAACAAGTTAGGATGTCACAAGAAAATAAGTAGAGCAAAAATCTAATCCCAATAATATTAATTACATAATGCGATCGGCGTGCGATAATTTCTCACTTTTGAGTGACTAATTAGTTTAGATTTCGATGTCACCTGACCAGTCCAGGAATCGGACGGCCGATCTAATGAAATTGCATCATCGAATCACTCGCAGGGATATGAAGTAATCGTGTATGTGATTTGATATGCTGCAATGTCCTGGGGCGCAATAATTGCTCACCTACACGTATTATCAGCCAATACAAGACCGGTAAACAGAAGTAGTAATTAAAACCGATCAAAGTTATGCCATTTTAATATACAAGTCGGTCGTGGCTTTGAGCTTGCCTGTCGTGACCACTTTTCTGGTTCTAATACGCTAAACTATAGTAGGTATTCACTTCTGCACTTAAATATTTGTTACAACTGTTTTCTTGTAACTTCATCCACGTAAATTATAGTTTATGTTACCCGTGTATGACGTATGTAGAGTAGTTTCCCGTGAATGAAATACTTTTAAAAATCGGTTCAATAGTTTCGAAGCATATTTAATGTAAACAAACAATCAGGTCTTTCCTCTTTAAAAGTTATTAGTATGATAACAAGTATTTTCACGATCAAATATCAACTATTCTAAATAAACAGATCAAAGATAGGAGAAAAATAATTAAGTGAAATTGAAACATAAAAAGATATGTAGAATATTACATACATGTTGGAAGAGCTTCAATTCTCATTTAAAATCATTTAGTAAGGTCAAATTTTTTAAAGTAGGTAGAAGGCAGAAGAATTTAGTTCATGGTTTAAAAAATTACGGATTTAGGTTTATTAAAAAAGTAATAGTAGTTTGAGTAAAACTAATCTATCAATATAATATTCGTAAAAGTCCTTACATAATTCTCCAGAAATTCTGTGTGTACGTTCTTAACTGGTACCGGGGCGGAAGCAATGCGATGCACAGGTGCAGAGACTGCAACCGGCGCTACCACTGGTGCCACTTGAACCCTGTGTTGACTCAGGCCGACGTTTGATGTGGCGAATTGTACACCTGCTCCGGTAGCACTATGTTGAGTTATTGCTGAGTATTGAGCGACAGCGGGCGCAGCATACTGAGCAACTGCCGGTGCGGAGTATTGAGTGACTGCCGGTGCGGAGTAATGAGTAACTGCTGGTGCTGAGTATTTAGTCACTGCAGGTGCGGAGTATTGAGTCACTGTCGGTGTGGAATATCGAGTCACTGTCGGTGTGGAATATTGAGTCACTGCAGGTGCGGAGTATTGAGTCACTGTCGGTGTGGAGTATTGAGCCACTGCCGGTGAGGCGTATTGAGTTACTGCCGATGCGGAGTAATGAGCGGTTGCGGGTGCGGAATATTGAGTGACTGCTGGTGCTGAATATTGAGTGACTGACGGTGCAGAGTATTGGGTTACAGTCGGCGCTCCATATTGTACTTGAGGTATAGCTGGTGAGGCATAGTGCGCAAAAGGTGATACATTCTGTGATGAATATTGAGCAACAGCTGGAGCATTATATTGAGTTATAGCGGGACTGAAGTATTGTGCTCCACTTACAGAATTTGAAATCGAAGATTGCGTATATTGATTTGCGTTAGAGGTGTATTGAGTTACGGGAGACAGGACTTGGACAGGTCTCACTTGGGCGTATTGTGGAGCAGCCGATGCTGCAGGTGTGAATACTTGTGGTTGCCTTGATTTTAAAGTCGCTGAAATGTCGTAGGTAGCAGATGGAGCTGCGATTACTTGGGACACAACAGGTCCTCCAGTTTGCACTGTACCATAAGAATTGAGAGATGCTCGTGCTGATCCAGTCGTTTGTGATTCATAGTTTTGAGATACGTAAGTTGTTTTAGCAGGTGCCACTGAAAATCTTGCAATAAGTGGAGCAGCGGTCACTTTGGCAAGGATCGGTGCTTGAGCGTAAGTCGCTTGTGGTATAACAGTCCTCGGTCGTGAATCTACTGATGATAATCCAGCGGAGGTGGCATACCCATGCACTTCTTTAGATGCTGATGCAGTAACATAATTAGATTGTGATAGAAGAGGTGAAGTTTGATAAGTTGCAGGTTGTTGCGCTATATAAGTGGTCTGTGGTGCAATAGCTTGATATGCAGACCCAGCGGCGTATCCAGAGTATTGATAAGAGGGAGATGAAATAATCGGTTTCGCAGCAAGTTTTACTCCGCCGGTAGTCAATTGTACGGTGGGTGCCGGATATGAGTACCCACTGTCATCACAACCTTGAAGTTTCTGCACTTGACTCAAATGGTAGTTGAGGTCAGGATCATGGTATCCATAAACTGACGTTAAAGCCAAAATTAAGATGGTGATTGTTATCTGAAAAAAAGGTAATTTATTGCAATCAAAAAATTAAAATAAGCAGTTAAAATATTTATTTAATTTTAATTGTCAATTACTTTGTTCTACTTTCTTTAATAATATACAGCACACTTTCTTTTAATTAACAGAACAACTTACCGTTGTCATCCTTACTCAATAATGTGTAAGATCAAAATATCATAAATAGATTGTTAGTGTCGCAGTTTGCATTGAATTTATTAAAGCTAAGTGTATTTGCCAAACTTAAGCGGCGGTCGAAATGAGAGCAAACCGAACCGGCAAAGACTTATATAGCGATCTCATATGTGTAAGAACGGGTCATACTTTTTCACGTTCGCCTCTGGAATCAGTGGGCGCGGTTCGTGTGTTCACTGTACATATTAGTAAATAACAAATGATAATGCAACACGATATTCATAATAAGTTATATCGTGATATAACTGTTACGGTTTAGCTAAACGTTTATGGATATTTGTTTTGAATGTAGTTAGCGAAGGACATTTGTTTAGATAATTATTATAATACAATTGTATAAAATATTTATTTCTATGAATGGGTAGACTAATGAATATTTTATAAATGTATATGGAAAGGATAGATAAAAAAGTGGCCTAATCGGTGAAAGGTATTTTCTTCCAGACACCGGTGGAGTCACAGTTTATTTTTAACAAAAAATCTAACATTTGAAGTAATATCGGAGCTTTGTATATAGTTTAGTAATTCTTTACAATATTTGTTTTTTTTTACAATAATTTGAAATTGTCTCAGTTGTTATATTAATAATAGTAAATAATCTTCATTTTAATAGTTTGCTGCACATAATTTTGGTACATAATATTTAAAATAAACTGTGCTGTACATTGTTTGTTGAAAACATTTTGACCCACATAACTAAGTGGAGAATTATACACTATTTATGGTTGTGCTTGAAAATGAAAAAAAAAATGAAATACTGGATTAATAATTACTGTTATCAGAGTTATGTCGGAAGCAGATAACAACAATACTTACAACTAAATGTAGATATAAATAACGTCACTTGCAGCGGAGAAATGAATTTCTGAGAAATTCATTTGTTTGTCGTTCCTTTAGGTTTCTTATAGGTGGTAGCTCCATTTAAAAGACTCCCAGATAGGGCGTTGGAGGAACTAATTTAGTTTTAAATATTTTTTTCCTAAATTATCTCGATGTCTAACATTTATTATAGCTGTTGGTACTGGTTACAAATCAGTTGGGAGAAACTATACTTTTAGATTTAATAAACTGCATTTTCTATACTGTAAACAATAAAAATAACTACAGGAAACTTTATATAGTATAGAGCAGTATACTTATATTATAAGTGACAACATAATTTATGCTATACCATAAATATTTATTTGTTTTGGCTGTTTGGGTGGATTGCCTGAACATTGATGAAAATACGTTCTGTAGTAGCGAAAAAATTACAAGTGCTTGAAAAATTCATCAGTCCTGTTAGGTCCTGGGTAGCTCAGTGGTTAGGGCAGTCGCCCGGATTGCGAAAGCTCATAGGTTCGAGTCCCATCTCAGAGTACCAGGGCAAAGTGGATTTTTAAAGTATCTCTCATTAGATTTTTCTTACTTTTCTACTGGTATAACAGACTTGCTTCCAAAATAGTGTTATTTATATTTATTTGACATTGTATATTTTGAAATAACAATACTATTAAAAATAAGAAATAGGTAACTACTCTGCCAAACTGATTCATTATCGACGAAATCCTTCTAGGAAGGCAACTTGATTTATGTGTCATAATTACTTACATAAGCTTTTGTATATATTCATGTCATCTTTTTAAACATTGCGCTACTAACTGTCATATAAGGGGAGATTAAATACATACTGTTTATTGAATAAAGTGTCGTGTAACTGCCAGAGTTCATTTACCAGTAGATTATGAAACTAATCCGCGATTAAAGGTTGATGTCTAATTTGTTATTATATTACGAGCAATTTATATATTAAGTTGACTTATCACTGAAGATTGTTGTGGTTTGTAATGTTTGCTATACATTTTTAATCATTAACGGTCAGTTTCACAAACGTCCATTAAGGTTTAATGAATGTCAAATTTGTATCGGTAATGTCGCTTTGAACTATTGACAATTTTAATGGACGTATTTGCAACTGGCTGTATATCGCATATTGATTTAATTTAACTAGTCATTATAAGTATTAATGATTTTTACTTTAAATATAAGTAAAGTTCTTTTAAAAGGTTTATATTTTTCAGTTAAATAATTTATAATTTTAGATAACATAATACACATTGCACTAATATGAAACAACGAAGGTGTCATAACTTATCTAGTACCACAATATAAAAAAAATAATTTTCTGCATTGATTCGACGATCGGGAATCAAACCCTTGAAACTGCTGTAATTGCTACTAGGCCACAGATGTCACCAAATTATTGAAGATAGTATGTAGGTATGTAACTCAAACTCATGCTATTCACTCAGAATATTTTAAAGTCGAAGCGCTTGTGGTCGAAATTTATTCTATTAATTAAATAGTTGTTTAAGGAATAATATCTTGTTTCATAAGTATGTATTGTTATTATTCTTCTACCAACTTTTTAATTAATTCTTCAAAAAGGCCGAACTAAAATAATTATGTGAAGAAAGATAATGTTATGGTACTGTTTCGATGGAGAAAAAGTGATTATAAAAGTCAAAATAGGTACAATAAGAACTGTATTATTATTGTAATAAAACATATACTGTCTTGGCAAATTTAACAGAGTAACGCGAGAAAAAATATATGTTTCATCAATTTGATTACGTAGCATGTAGGTGATGCGTTGATATCTTTTGTTTCCAAGTTTATTGTCAGCTGTTCAAGTATAACAAAGATGATTTTTAATGGCGTTTTTTTAATTCATATATTGCGTTTGTAACACTGAAATTTATAATAAAATAAAATAATTAATATTACACAATTCGTTAAGAATTTTTTTGATAATAATTTTGTTTGGAAACTGTTTCTGTTTGACTCGAAGTGTCATTGTCTGTTTTGTTTGATACAGATATCTCGTGTTTTTGTTACCCACGAAGGGCAATTTATGATTTAAAGTTACTCATTATATTATGTTTGATTCCCACGCTGCTGGCTGGACGAACAGATAATGTAACATGCTCAGCCCTTATTGAGTAATGAGTTTGTGCTATGTAAATTTTATGACTTTTTATTTATTGCTTTGTCGGTAACCTTGGTTATTAATATTTATGGAGCATTTTACATTTCTTAATCTGTTGACAAGTTCTACATTATATTTGTGTACTTATAATTGACGATTTCCGTTATTGTAATGGGTATCGGAGGGTGTTGGCGCGTCGCTATAGCTGAGCTTTTAGATTTTATTTTTAGTTAAGTCAGTGTTAGAGATCGGATTGTTTTTGGCATCACCAGCTCATTCATGTATCTCTGCTGTAACACAGGCCTTTCGTATGGATGGAATTGAAGCGAATCACACGGGCCATATCACACGGGCCCAGTGCGGATTGGTGGGTATTAACGAGAGTGGGTGCGGCCTAGACTAATGGCTTAATTAAAGATATTTTTTGGTCACCCATCCTACGACAGGCTCTTGCGAAAGTTGCATAAAAACCGTATCGCAGACCAAACGCGATAGTCACTACAGTAGCGAGCTCTACTATGTTCTATATTATTTTTGAATTAATTAAAAACATCTTATTATTTCTAATAAATATTAAACTGACTCCAAAAAAACTATTATAAGGGAACAATAATTCAAGAATCAGTTTGTTGATGATTGGCAGCTGTACCGACCTCCTTTTATATTTGTTTATGCTTTTATAGTTTTTTATGTTTTGATAATTTTTTGTTGACTACACCCTGTTTTTCCGAGATTCCTATAAATATTATTTTCAAAATTAACCCGTGAAGACGCCACTTCTGTCATGGCGTCGTTATGACGTCATGGCACTCTGAAACGAATATCGTTTTATTTATGCAATAGGTGAATTCTGTTCAGCAGGGCGATTCTGTAAAAATCCGAACCCGAATTTGAATTCACTTATGTGTCCGAATCCACGTCATTTAGTGAAGAAATAGAAATTCTATTGATTCCCTTTTTTTGTATAAAAATACAAAATAATATTGATTGATATCTCAGATATTTTATTTCTATGTCATTTGAAACTCACTTCACTTATTTATGCCACGAAACGTTACTACCAATTGAAGATTGAGCGGATGCCGCTTCTTGAAGTGAATTGGGACACCTGAGTGAATTTGAATTCTGGTTTGGATGTTTACAGTATCGCAGGGCTGACATGACTAAGACGTGACGTCATGTTCTGTTTGCGGTCACGTGACAACGAGCATAAAATAGATTTCGTGAACAACGAATATTAGTATTGTAAAACAGTCATCATCATCATCATCAGCCCTTTTACGTCCTCTTTGCAGGGGCTCAAGCCTTCCTTATGATGGTTAAGGAGGATGGGCCTTGACCCTCCACGCTGGCCCAATGCGGATTGGAGGGTATTAACGACTACAAATGCAGTCGGGACCAACGGCTTAACGTGCCTTCCGAAGCACGGAGTAACTCGAGATAATAATTTTTTATTCACCCATCCCGTGACCGACCCTTGCGAAAGTTGCTTAACGATCACGATCGCGGGCCGTGGCGCTTATCCACTACGCCACCGAGCTACCAACACAACAACAAAAAAGTTGTAAAACTGATTTTTCTATATTAAACCGGTCAGAAGCTTGATAGTCGCATTGTGATTATTTCTTTTATTATACATCTTTCCATAAAATAATTAAAAAGGTATGTATATTAGTATACCACTAGTCGGTTTTGTTCAATATATTCCTATACTAATATTATAAAGACGCGAACCTCCTCTCTTTGTTTAATCCTTTGTAGGGCAAAGTCATGGTAATAGCAGCTACTATTATATATTCGTTTCTGCTTGCACTTCATCACAGATACACATAAATTAATATTTTAATTGTATTAAAAATTTCCTTTGAAAGAAACAAATGTTTTCAAATAATCTAATTATTTATTACTATCAATATGAGTTTAATATAATCGGTGTATGTTAACAAAGTTAATTTGCATCTAGAGGTATTTTCTCCTTTTTAAA